TAACTTCTAAAGTATGAATTTTTTTTGTTTTTATGTTTTTCAATATATTTATTTTGTTTGTAAAAAATAAAAAAATAATTTTTAACGATACAATAGCCACGATTATTATTTTAAAAAGTTTACATTAGGCTTAACATCGACGAAAATTAACGCGAAGCGACACGCAAGAAAGAAAAATTTCAACACGGGATAGGTTAATGTATTTTTTCGTACATAATCGGTTACCCGAAAAATAAGTTATCCGAACAACCCCAGTCCCCAATTGATTCGGATAAACGACACTCTACTGTATAATAATATATTATTAATATAAATTGATATGTCTGAGCGTGTGAAAAATTGAATATTTACTTAATTTATTCTACAAATGTATACAAAACCAAGGTAATATTTTTTACAATAAAATGTACATTTTCCTAACTTTTAAGAGAAAGCAAAACAATTCAACTTTCTTTTCCACAAGGTTACATACTTCAAAAAATTTATAATATCCTATGGTTAATTTTCGACCAAACTTCATCTTGATCAGATGACAAAAGTTTATCTCCCGATTGTAGAATAATTTTGGTATAAAAACGCAATTCGCGCTATTTTTCGGGCTTCCTCAGTCATTCTTACCTACACATCAACTTTGTGCCAGAGCTCTCTAGAATAATAACTTCTGCATAAAGAACAAAAGAACAAATTACCGCCTCAACTTAAACGTTGAACAACAAATCAAATAAATGTTTCCAAATCAAATTATTAATATTGAAATATTGTAATATATATATTTCTAATATATAAAAATTTTAAATATTATTTAAATCAAAAGTAGAAATTTGTTTTCACTTTTATTTTCATAAAATTTTGTTTTGTTTAATTTTAAATTGGTCTCGTTTTGTACTATTTATATGCCGAATCCTTTACTTAAAAATCTAAGTTCCTTAGACTCGGAAATTAATATATTATCGCGAGGTTAAAATTTTATCTCAGCTGGTGTCTAACTTACAGCCGTTAAACGTTCGATAGTTCAACTTTATCAAACCGGGTTCCTCACAAATGTTTAAAATATTGTTTCAATATACAGGTATACCTCGCCTTACGTAGGTATTTGGTTCAACGAAAGGCGACTAAAGTCGGACAACTTCATAAATAAATAATCTGCTCTATTTTAAAAGTAAAACAAGTGTCTCCATTATGACATCTACTGATTCATTGCAGAAATAAATTTCAAACGGTAATTTTAAAATTAAATGCTAAAATAATAGCGATTTGTTTACTGATATTTTCGACAAAAAATGATATAAGCAATAATACAGTATAACGCTTTATTTAAACTCGTGTATAAAACACATTTAACAAACATCATAATTGCAAAAAAACGTTTAATTTACGATAAAGAATTGCCAAGAAAAACTTTTTAATAAAACTACACATTTCTACAGATATTTCTTCTTGGTTTAATTCGTTTCTGTAAAATTAATTTTATAAATCTGTAAACAGTTTTGTTCTTCACTCGAAATGCTTTTTAGCTTTTTGAAACCAGAGAAAACTGAATGCAACGTTTTTGCCATCTGAAAGATTAAATTTAACTCAATTTATTTACAGTTACAAAACCGCAATTAATTAAGAAAATAATACAACCTTCAGGGGAATTCTTTTGTCAATAATCAAAAATTTACCTATTGTGAGAAAGAGAAAGACTTTTCCAAATCTTCTCATGAAGTTCAAAATCTAAAATTATTGTCAATATTAGGAAAGTATTTGTTTAAATACAATTTAAACTTCATACCTTTAGCTTTTGATTCTCTCCAATGTCACATCCTGCAAATTGTCTGATATCTTGAAATGTATTTTCCATCTGCAAGAAAAAGCAACTATAAACTATCTAAATCATATGTTAATAGTGCATATAGAACGTAATTACCGTAAATGCTAAAGAGCACAGCAGACAGGCAGCAATTATGCTAATGCAAGTCAATAGTATCATCAATAGGAGTATCAGCAATTTAATAACATGATGAAGTTCTAAGAACAAAAACGCATAATATAAAAAACTTGTCACCCAAACGATTCCAAAGTACAAAAATCCAGACACAAAGTTATATTTAGAATTGAACTGTTGCACGAAAATCCAAAGTTCTTCATGATGCATCATTAATGCGTTTAGGTTTTCTCGTAAATCAGAATCGATTCTTTGTATTAAAAGCAGCTCCCTCGACAATTGCTCATATTCCTTATGCGAGATCAGCACTAACAATGCCGCTAACAATAAGCTGTAACCGACGCCACCAATAAAAAAACTTATATTTAAGGAGCCGAATGTGGTACAGAAGAGAGCTTCTTCATAAAATTTTTGCTTCATTTCTATGTAAGGGTAGAAAAATACAGTGGCTGCAATTTGTTGCAAATCAATGGCTACTATTATAACAAAGGAAATAATTAGAGTAACATATTGTAATAAGATGTTATTTTCGTTAATCATTTTTACTCGAAAGAATTTATTTCTTAATGGCTTATTCAAATTGAATTTGTTTCGTTTGATGAATTCGAATGCAATACAATAAACGATAAATACAACACAAATTACTATTTTAAATAACATGGAATTTATTTCGTATACGTCATACCAACCAATGCATATCGCATATTCATTGATTACTGGGATTACTTGCCATATGAAAAGAATTGTATATCCGCGTAATGTCAGTTCGATAAATCGAATATAGATGTTTTTTAATTTGGTATTTTGAAATTTTCTTTCTTTCTTTGAGCATTTACAGTTACAAGTTTCAAATGCGTCCACCCCAAATATAAGAGCAGTCGTCCAACATGGGCTGATGAAACAGCTCAGGCATACCTCTTGTATATTCGAACTCATGCTCAGTCTGTATTGAGTTTAGGCTTTACAGAACGAAATGAAACTGTTCATAGAAATTCTGGTTATGTAAACTCATTATCTCTGAAAATTTTATAGTGTCATTAATAAAAACAATAATGGTGTATTTGAAATTAATCTTTAATGGGATAGTGAATGAAATAAATTGATTGGCTGTTGGCTATCAATTTCCTTTATAAAGTTAACAATACATCAGCAAACCATTGCAAATATAATTATTTATAACAACAGAAAATCATATCTTAAGTGGCTTTTTGTACTTCTACATCAGGATAAGTAATTAGATTTACATTCCTAAATGTTTTATATTAGTATTTCTAAAGAATCTGTCATTTTAATAATATTTTAATACACTGGTTGGTATATTACTAGATGCATATTTTGTCCTTAACAATTTTAAATTCCTTACCAATAGATGATTTGATAGACGAGTAAACCCATTACGAGCAATATGCTAATGTTTTTGGAAATTATATGAACTTCAATCAAACGATAAAACTTTATTAGTGTTATTGTATATATTATGTAATATTAAATAAATAATAAATCATATTTTCCATTACCCTTTCTTTATAAAAACTCTTTTTTAAAAAGTTAACTTATTTTACAGTGATTGTAAATACAATAAGAAATGTTCAAGAAAGTGCAACTAACACAGGTATCTGCATAAAAGACGGTTAAAATTGCACATCAGAGTCTGAATATGTAAGGTTACATAAGCTGTTCCAAAGCTTTCAAATAGGAAAAGTTCTAAATAGGCAGAGTGTAAGGAATGTGTAAACAATGTCAAATCTCAACTTCATGACAAAAGTAAAAAAGAATATTATTCTGTAGTAAGAAACCAAATGAAAACAAAAAAGATAAAATTAAAATAAAAACGAGTTTTGTGTTTGTTCAGTTTGTTACAGAAAAAAATGAACAAAACAAAATTGAAGCAAGAATAATGTTAAAAATAATGAAATAAATCGTAGTCGTTAGTACAGCGGTAAAAAACTACGTAAATAATTAAAAAATTACAAATAAGTTATCCAAATATTTACTTTTTGATAATTACGAAGTAAGAAACATCCAAGATCGAGTAGTTCTAATAGAAAAAATTGTGTTGTTTTTTAATACTGTTTTTAAAAAAGTGTTCAATTGCATAAGCCAACAAAGACAGTCGAATAATTTACCAGAAAAGAATACCTGAACGACAGTTATAAGAAAAAACGGTTTACTTTAAATGTAACATGACGTAAACACAGTCAATTTGTCAGCCACGAACCTACGGCCCGTGTACGTGAGCCTGTAATTCGTGGCTGACTGCGAAATAGCGATGAAATCAATCTACATACTGCCACATAACTATAGAACAGCTTCATTTCTCGTATGTTTTTTCTATCATGCTTCATGTACCCACTTAACAGACTTTGAGAAAAGATAGATTGTAGATTTGAGAAACATTTGTTTAAATTACCAGGTAGTAACAAACTGCATCAAGAGTTTGAACAAGGTCGTTAAGCATTATTTGTCAAATTCTGCAAATTATGTACAAAAACATTGAATTGGACATGTTTCAAAGCTTGCACAGCTAGACCACAGAGAAACTGATAATGCACCCTTTTATTTACTGCTTTCACGCTTGAAATTCGTGACGATTTGAGTACCAAAGTACATCACGAAACCATTCGAATGGTTTTACACAACAACAACAACAACATTGTTCGGTTTTGAATGAGAAGTGCCCCTTTCTTAAGGCCGAGCACAAATTTGCCCGGCTCCATTTTGTGACGAAAAATATGGCCATTCAATGGAATAAGGTAAATTATTGTTTCGTTAAGAACTATCGTGCTATCACAAGAAGTAACGACATTTTTGTCGTAGAGGTTATCTTTTAGGACGAAGATAAAGTTAATTTCGATATGCCAGATAGTTTAGCGTTTTACTGCTGTGATTTACTAGTAGTTTGCTCATGTTTCGTTTATGTGTAATTCCTAACCTTCGTATAGTAAATTCGCAACAGAACACCTTATTTTGGTGCTCCGCTATAGCACTGAATTGATGCGGTTTAAATGACGAATAGAATGTCCATCAAGATTTTTACATTTTACTGATTTAAATTTACAAAACCATCATAACAATGAGGTAACGTATTTCATTGTTTAGTTTAATTCTATTGTCACATCGTATTGTTGATTTTAAATATGTCGATAAAAAAATAATAACAAAAACAGTGAAAGATCGAAAGAAAACATTTTTGAGGAGCAAGTGATTGAAAACTGATATGTTTTTATTCATATATTATTAATTACATAATATTAAAAATGAATTTTTTTTATTATTGTGTATAGGATAAACAAATTATTAAAACTACTGAAGAAATTATCGAGAGTAATTCGAAAGATCAAAGAAAACGTTGTCAAAAGTTTAAAGAGGAGCGAATAACTGCAAGCCTCAAAGTAAGTAATTAATAGAAATTTAATGAAATTTAAAGTAATTAACTGATAAAAATTTTTTGGAAATCATAACTTAAATTTTACATTAGATGTTCGCTAATCCGGACTGACGAGTCCCTATTGTGCAGAGTTACTGAATATTTTTATTGTTACAAAATTCAGTAATTTATCTGTGATATAAATGTTGCAAACATTGCTGTACATTTATTAAAAAGGCACACTTCTGTAAGATTCGGATATCATTTTAGACTATTTGGAGAACCTACATTGCATGAGTAAACTACTTTAACAATTGCTGGCTGGATGATCGTAAGTGTTAACATAGCATATTCCTTCTATTAATGAGAGAATCAGGAATAAAATACGAACTGTCGAAAAATTCTAGGAGTAGTTTTCCTCGGTTATATTTGTTAAATCTGGAATTTTTTAACCGATTTTTCCTATTAATATTCCTTACTTTTTTAAATCTTCAATTAAAGTTTTTTTTTAAACCTAAAATGAAACTTAGCTTAACAGAGGGGGGAAAAGTCTACTTTCTTCTTTCTTTTCAAAGTAAACATCTGTCCACTTCGAAAATAATCCCACATTACAACTCTAAAGTTAATGTTTAGCATGGTCCTGGGGACAACTTCGATTTACCCGCGTACCTTTTACCTGACAACAATTAATCATATGATAATTTTTTAATGTCGAAGCTATAAAAGTTACTTCCATCTCCCCCTCGAAAGAAAGTCACTCATCAACCGTCAAAGCGCCAAGTTACCTACGATTTTCTTATAAATTTGTGCCGTTATTCTCCCTTTGTGGACTTTTTGGATTACATTATTTTCCGCCAAAGATATCTAAATTCATAAAAAAATATGGAACTAACTTATGTGAACTCTCTCTCGGCCTCTTCGCGCCTTAGGGGCTCAGTAAATTCCCCCCGAATTCAATTATTGTATCGCTCGGATAAAAAATTAATAAATTGTTGTTTCTTTGTTAAATTTGTTTTTCTCGTTTACTCGTATATCGTCTATTACCTTACCGACGGCACTCCTTCCTCCACTCGACCCGACGATCAAATCCCGTCACAGCGGGTTAAATAAAAGAAACATTTAAGCCATCTTGACCGTGAGCAGGTTTAACGACATGTCGTTAAAAAGGGAAACATAGAATTTCCCCGGCGGTTCACATATTAGTCTCTCTGATCCCTCACTAGCTACTCACCTAGTTATGAAAATGGCCAAAGTCACCATAAGTCCGAAAAAAGAACATCTTTGTACCCATAGACAATAAATAGTAAAATTAAAAACTACTTGTAGTGTAGTAATTGAGGATCATGCAAATCTCTAATGAGTAAGGATTGAAGCTTTAATGGTTTTCAGAGGTTTGTTGATGTTTCATATAAGCAGAAAAATTACATAAAAAATAAAACAAAAGTGCATTTATTTTTTAATTTTCTTTATATCTTAATTATAATTAATAATAAAACTTACAAAATCTAATGCAACTAAACATTTATTTTGGAGAAAGTAGTTAAAGAAGAAACTACGTTTCAAACACCCGAAGCAATTACTTCAATTAAACAAGATGCTGAACTTCCTGAAAGTGAGAAACACAAAAAGACGAATGGAAAAAAGAAACGAGAATATTATGCTACAATTCGTTTAGGTAAATGGAATAATTACGTAATAAATATATCTTTATAAATCAATTAAATTCGTTAACGCCAGGATATCAGGAATCGCTTCTTCCTCAAGATCTGAAACAGCAAATCGAATCTGATAAAATGTTCGAAGTTATGAAAGCTGTAAATAAAATTATGTTCAAGATTGGTATGTTTAATAACAAAGAATGCATTGTAAATGATATCTGCAGCCTTAATTAATAATTTTGTCATGGTTTCATTTCAGTTTCCTACTTAACAGTTTTGGCATTCTTCATCGTAATTCCATTCTTGATGGTTTCATTCGGTATGCAAATTAATTATAAGAGATTATAGAATTGTTTACACTGATTTCTGCGGTTGTTTCAGGTGTAACGTACTTAACAGAATGTCCAGCTCAGTATAACGTGCCAATATTTTTGATAATTGGGGGTTTGGGAATTTTCATCGAGACCATATTTTGATAATTGGTGGTTTGGGTATTTTCATCGAGACAACATAAGCATATTTTCATTTATATAGAAGCGTGCAGCGGGTGTATAAGTAAAATATTTAATATTATAATTAAATTATAAGATATAAGATTAGTTTGCTTTGTCACTACTATTATAATGATATTTGTTCATAAAAAAGAAATTATTTCATAGTTTGTTACTGATTTATCTCATTTTGTCTCTAATCACTTAAAGCTATGTTTAAAATTTAGGCCGGCAGGCGTCGTATTTGCAAACATAACAACTGTTATGTCATCTACAATCGTGGGTGAAAAATTCGTTAACTGTCAATTGCATTTTCTTGAATTTGATTAGCCGGTTGAAAAAAATCGTCATGACTTAAATGTATGAAGCTTTAAAAAATTACATAAAATTGAAAATAAATACAAAACTTTTGAAAAAATCGTAATGGATGAATAATCATAAGACAATTTAATATCAATTTCAAAAAAAAATTGTAAACAAAAATTACCGCGGAAAAAAATTCACATAACAAAGAATTATGTGACAATAAAGAAGAAATTTTTCTTTACTAGACATAACTGCTTAAAAAATATTTTTTGGAAAGGAAATCAGAAAAACGAGTGGGAAAATTCTTAAAAATTTTCCACGCTTCTTCTTCACAACTAAGTGAAAGCTCCACGTCTGACTACTCAAATGTTGAAAAGTTAATATTTTCATAAAAACAATAGAAAGTAAGTATTGTGTGTGTTAAAGAAAAGTATATTTACAAAACTTTACTATCTATCAAATTTCCATCATAGTATTATTAAAGTACGGATTTACGGAATTTTAAGATAAGGCAACGAATAACATGGACATTTTACCTAAGAAGAGTGTCTAAAAAACCGAATTTCTTAAGGTTGCTGTTATTATAATAACTCCATGCAGCCAGCTTGTTGGTGAGGTGCGAACTCTCGACCAGATTACACTGCATTTTTCCACTTGATAAATAACTCTACAGGGATCTGAACTATCTGTTTCAGCAAGCGTTTTTCTATCTTATACTGCCAAGAAACTACAATATATTTTTGTGAGTATTCGTAACATCTTAAGTTACTGTTATATTCTGTTTCCATATCTGTACATGTTTAAACACATTTTAGGAATTATATTTTAATATCTTACATTAATTAGAAAAGACTGTCGAGTTAAACTGTGTTATAAACATTGTTATAAATACGTTCATAGAAGATATTTAATAATGTGAATATTTTTATTTTATTTGTATCATTTTATCTTGTTACTGGTGTTTGTATTTTGACGAATTTCTTTTATGTATACTAATTTTAGAAAAAGAAACTTATGTCATATACTTGACATTTCTAATTAATTTTGATAACTCCATAAATAAATCATCAGCACAATATTGAAAGTAACGAGGGTGTCTATCTGCATTATCACTTTTACTGCCTCACTGCGAAAATAAATTTGAAGCGTAATTTTAAAATAAAGTACTAAAATAATAGCGAATTGTTTACCGATATTTTCGAAAAAAACTAATTTAAGCAATAATAAACTATAATGCTTTATTTATACTCATCTATAAAATACATTTAACAAACATCATAATTGCAAATAAACATACTATTTACCAGAACGAATTGCCAAGAAAGACTTTAAATAAATAAAAATTACTCTATTTATTTATTTTTTAAATTCATTTCTGTGAAATTAATTTTATAAATCTGTGAACAGTTTTGTTCTTCATTTGAAATGCTTTTTAGCTTCTTGAAACCAGAGAAAACTGAATGCAACGTTTTTGCCATCTGAAAAATTTGATTTAACTTAATTTATTTCCAGTAAAACACAAAATCTGTAAATAATTACAAAACCGCAAATAATTAAGCAAATAATACAACCTTCAGGGGAATTCTCTTGTCAATAATCAAAAATCTACCTATTGTGAGACAGAGAGAGACTTTTCCAAATCTTTTCATGAAGTTCAAAATCTGAAATTATTGTCAATATTAAGAANGTATGTTTAATAACAAAGAATGCATTGTAAATGATATCTGCAGCCTTAATTAATAATTTTGTCATGGTTTCATTTCAGTTTCCTACTTAACAGTTTTGGCATTCTTCATCGTAATTCCATTCTTGATGGTTTCATTCGGTATGTAAATTAATTGTAAGAGATTATAGAATTGTTTACACTGATTTCTGCGATTGTTTCAGGTGTAACGTAGTTAACAGATTGTCCAGCTCAGAATAACGTGCCAATATTTTGATAATTGGGGGTTTGAGAATTTTTAATCGAGACCATATAAGCATATTTTCATTTCTATAGAAGCGTGCAGCGGGTGTATAAGTAAAATATTTAATATTATAATTAAATTATAAGATATAGTCAGTAGAAATGCCATTATTTTTTCAAGCTGTCAGAAAAGTGCAGCCTCAAGTCTTTACATTACTTTGACAGATTTGAACGAGAAATTTCGATAATATTTTTTTATTTATTTTCTTGTTATTTTCTCCAAAGAGTTATTATAAAATTTATTTCTAGATTTATAAGATTATGACAAATTAAATATTAAATTTTATAGATTTTTTTATAGAGTTGATTTACACGAGTAGCATTTTTCTTTTTTAATTTTTAAAATATTAATTTAGTAATAATCACTAAAAGTATTCTATTATTGTAAAACTACTTCTAAAGCATTATTTATAAACTTTATTAGTTTAAATATTTTTTAAATTTAAAAATCATTATTTAATAAATGATTTAAGCAGTTGAATTTTCATCGAGACCATACTTTGCCACTATTCGATCTGTAGAAAATTTTAAAAAACGGAAGACATATTTAAAGGTTTCTCTTATAACACTACTCATATTTCTGTTGTCTTGGTTTATTTTAGGTAAAATAAATGATTTAAGCAGTTGAATTATGATCGAGACCATACTTTGCCACTATTCGATCTGTAGAAAATTTTAAAAAACGGAAGACATATTTAAAGTTTCCTCTTATAACCCTACTCATATTTTTGTTGTCTTGGTTTATTTAAGGTAAAATTATTAAATACAGTACTTCATACTTTTTTACCGTTTCTAAATCAATAATTATTTCAGGTTGCGTGTGGGTGTACGAAATGTATCCACCCGTTTACGACGATAAATACGATGAGCAATATTGCAACAAGAAACTATACCTATTTACATTTTGGATGATTAATTCGGTGTTTATTTCGGCGATTGTTTACATCGGTTTAGTTTGTTTTGTCACTGCTATTATATTGATATTTGTTCATTAAAAAAATCGTTTCATAGTTTGTTACTGACTTATCTTATTTTGTTTCTAATAACTTAAAAATATGTTTAAAATTTATAATATTCTTCAATTAAATATGTTTCTCTGAATGATTAGTGGAATTTATTTCGTTGAAGATTACACGACTTTTATTAAAATTCTATTTAATATTAATGCTTAAACAATCTTTTACTTCTTAATTAAGTGTGTGGAACGTTAAACAGTGGTTTTTCATCTTAGATGCAAAAAATTTTCTAAGGCAAGAAATATTTTTATTTCATAACTAATTATTTAACTAATTTACTTTAGCATTCAACAGCACATTGTAAAAATTAAAAATATGTGAACAGCATAGACCCATGGTCTTAAAATTATAATTTTAACAGAGCCAGAAGGCAGAAGTCACTTTCTGGAAGCACTTCCTAGGCAAATCACTGAACCTTTTCATGCCTAATGATCAGTAAAATTATCCAAAAATATTCTACAAGGCCACTAAGTAATGTCGGTCTAAATTTGTAAAAATGTTATAAATTTATTATATATTTTTTAGACATACTATACCGGTGCCATCCATCTATATCTATTAATGAAAATGTTTGTTTGATTGTTCGCTATACAAACCTAAACCGTTTGATCAATTGCTGTGACATTCAACAGTGACGTTAGGATTTATATTTCTTAGATAATGACTTAATTGACTCCAATTTCAAAATATTAATTGGTTTTCCAACTTTCACTCAAATTCTGTTTATATCGAATTTGTTGGTTTTACATGTATCGCCATCTATTAGCAAAATTTCTTTAAATAGTAGTAAACTGNTCCTGCAAATTGTCTGATATCTTGAAATGTATTTTCCATCTACAAGAAAAAGTAATTATAAACTGTCTAAAGCATATGTCAATAGCGTATGTAAAATGTAATTACCGTAAATGCTAAAGAGCACAGAAGACAGCCAGCAATTATGCTAATGCAAGTGAATAGTATCATCAATAAGAGAATGAACAATTTAATGAAATAATGAAGTTCTAAGAACAGAAATGCATAATATAAAAAACTTGTCAACCAAACGATTCCAAAGTACAGAAATCCAACTACTAAATTATGTTTAGAATTGAACTGTTGCACGAAAACCCAAAGTTCTTCATGATGCATCATTAATTCGTTTAGCTTCTCTCGTAAATCAGAATCGATTCTTTTTATTAAAAGCAGCTCCCTCGACAATTGCTCAAATTCCTTATGCGAGATCAGCACTAACAATGCCGATAACAATAAGGTGTAACCGATTCCACCAAAAAGAAAACTTACATTTAAGGAGATGAATGTAGTACAGAAGAGAGCTTCCCCATGAAATTTTTGCTTTATCTCTATGTAAGGGTAAGCCAGTGCAGTAACCGCAATTTGATACAAATCAATAGCTACTATTATAAACAAGGAAACGAGCAGAGTAACATATTGCAATAAGATGTTATTTTCGTTAATCATTTTTACTCGAAAGTATTTATTCCTTAATGGCTTATTCAAATTGAATTTGTAGCGTTTGATCAAGTCGAATCCAATACAATAAACGATAAATAAAACAGAAATAACTATTTTAAATAACATGGAATTTTTTTCGAATATGTCATGCCAACCGATGCATATCGCATATTCATTGATTACTGGGATTACTTGCGATATGAGAAGAATTGTATATCCGCGTAAAGTCAGTTCGATAAAGCGAATATACATATTCTTGAATTTAGTATTTTGAAATTCTCTCCCTTTGTTTGAGCATTTACAGTTACAAGTTTCAAATGCGTCCACCCCGAATATAAGAGCAGTTGTCCAACAGGGGTTGATGAAACAGCTTAGACATACCTCTTGTAAATTGGAACTCATGCTCAGTTTATATTTGTGTCTAGGTTTTACAGAACAAATGAAACTATTCATAGAAATACTGATTACGTAAACTCATTATGTCTGAAAATTTTATGTGTCATTAATAATAATAATAATGGTATATTCCAGATTAATTTTTAATGGGATAGTAAATGAAATAAATTGATTGGCTATTGGCTATCAATTTCCTTTATAAAGTTAGCAATACGTAAGCAAACCATTGCAAATATAATTAGTTATAACAACAGAAAATCATATCTTAAGTGGCTTTTATGTACTTTTTCATTAGGGTAAGTAATTAAATTTACATTCTGAAAACTACTCCAAACTTTTCATGAGTATTTCTAAAGAATCTGCAATTTTAATGATATTTTAATGCATTGGTCGGTATATTACATACTGCAGATTTTGTCCTTAACAATTTTAAATTCCTCACTAATAGATGATATGGTAGACGAGTCAACCCATTACGAGCAATACGGTCATGTTACTGAAAATTATATGAACTTCTATGAAATGATAATATTTTAAAAGTACTATTGCATATGTTATGTAATATTAAATAAATCATTATGTTTCTTATTACACTTTCTTTATAAAATTTTTTTTAAATTAACTTATTCTACACTCATTGCAAATACAATAAAAATGTACAAGAAAGTACGACTAACACAGGTATCTACATAAAAGACGGTTACATTTGTACATTAGAGTCTGAATTTGTAAGGATATATAAGCTGTTCCAATGCTTTCAAATAGAAAAATTTCTAAATAGGCAGGACGTAAGGAATGTGTAAACAATGTCAAGTCTCAACTTCATGACACAAGTATAGACGAATGTTATTTTGTAGCAACAAAACAAATGAAAACGAAGAATAGATAAAGGTAAAATACAAAGGAATCTTCTGTTAGTTCAGTTTTGTAGAGGAAAAAATAAAAAAAATATCGATTGAAGCAAGAGTAATGTTTAAAATAATGAAATAAATCGTAATCATTAGTACAGCAGTAAAAAACTACGTAGATGCTTTAAAAAATCACAAATAAGTTACCGTAATATTTAATCAACTCGTTGCTAATAGATGTTTTATAATTGGCAAAAAAGAAATTTCAATCTGTTTCAAAAAATTAGCAATACGAATGAAATAAATTAATTCTATATTAAAAACTTTGGAATTAGTAATTAATAAATTTTCCATTTTAATTAATTATTTTAAATCTCTGATTCTTAATTAAATTTTCAAGAATTATTTTTAACATCACGAATTACAACCTTAAAGTTTGTCACATTAAAAATTGTCGACAGTCATTATATATCTGTCTCATAATATTTTCCCACAAATTCCCCATCAGATTTGTCCGCACTTAATGCAAGTAAGTCCAAAATACTCTGGACGATTGAGAACCTTTAACTAAAGCATTATCCTGTTGAAATATACAATTCCTATTACAAATTTTGATGGCATATGGCAATAAATGAATTTGAAGCATGTTCTGATAGTCAACAGAGTTCACCCTGCTATCTAATTCTACAATTAGACTCAGTAATTAGGAACTCAGTAAATTCCCCGAATTTAATTATTGTATCGCTCGGATAAAAAATTAATAAATTGTTGTTTCTTTGTTAAATTTGTTTTTCTCGTTTACTCGTATATCGTCTATTACCTTACCGACGGCACTCCTTCCTCCACTTGACCCGACGATCAAATCCCGTCACAGCGGGTTAAATAAAAGAAACATTTAAGCCATCTTGACCGTGAGCAGGTTTAACGACATGTCGTTAAAAAGGGAAACATAGAATTTCCCCGGCGGTTCACATATTAGTCTCTCTGATCCCTCACTAGCTACTCACCTAGTTATGAAAATGGCCAAAGTCACCATAAGTCCGAAAAAAGAACATCTTTGTACCCATAGACAATAAATAGTAAAATTAAAAACTACTTGTAGTGTAGTAATTGAGGATCATGCAAATCTCTAATGAGTAAGGATTGAAGCTTTAATGGTTTTCAGAGGTTTGTTGATGTTTCATATAAGCAGAAAAATTACATAAAAAATAAAACAAAAGTGAATTTATTTTCTAATTTACTTTATATTTTAATTATAATTAATAAAAAATTTTACAAAATATAATGCAACTAAACATTTATTTAGGAGAAAGTAGTTGAAGAAGAAACTACGTTTCAAACACCCAAAGCAATTACTTCAATTAAACAAGATGCTGAACTTCCTGAAAGTGAGAAACACAAAAAGACGAATGGAAAAAAGAAACGAGAATATTATGCTACAATTCGTTTAGGTAAATGGAATAATTACGTAATAAATATATTTTTATAAATCAATTAAATTCGTTAACGCCAGGATATCAGGAATCGCTTCTTCCTCAAGATCTGAAACAGCAAATCGAATCTGATAAAATGTTCGAAGTTATGAAAGCTGTAAATAAAATTATGTTCAGGATTGGTATGTTTAATAACAAAGAATGCATTCTAAATGATATCTGCAGCCTTAATTAATAATTTTGTCATGGTTTCATTTCAGTTTCCTACTTAACAGTTTTGGCATTCTTCATCGTAATTCCATTCTTGATGGTTTCATTCGGTATGTAAATTAATTGTAAGAGATTATAGAATTGTTTACACTGATTTCTGCGATTGTTTCAGGTGTAACGTAGTTAACAGATTGTCCAGCTCAGAATAACGTGCCAATATTTTGATAATTGGGGGTTTGAGAATTTTTAATCGAGACCATATAAGCATATTTTCATTTCTATAGAAGCGTGCAGCGGGTGTATAAGTAAAATATTTAATATTATAATTAAATTATAAGATATAGTCAGTAGAAATGCCATTATTTTTTCAAGCTGTCAGAAAAGTGCAGCCTCAAGTATTTACATTACTTTGACAGATTTGAACGAGAAATTTCGATAATATTTTTTTATTTATTTTCTTGTTATTTTCTCCAAAGAGTTATTATAAAATTTATTTCTAGATTTATAAGATTATGACAAATTAAATATTAAATTTTATAG